GAGCAAAATTAACTTCTTGGTTCACCTGTGACAGAACCTACAGTGACCTCTTGTGGTAAACCCTAACTACAGAGTTTTGGAGAACAACACAAACATACAGCCTTTTCCTAGGCCAGAGACCAGAGTCTATGGAAGCAACCTTGGTCCATGCTAGCAAATAGCTGTTATTAACAGTGAAAGTCAAAGATACATATTGACTAAAGGATTTCTTTTTGGAAATCTAATCAGTCACTGTCAATTAAAATAATCATAGCTGTTCCCTTCTATCAAAAAATAGTGTCTTACATGGTTCTTTTAGTAGGGCAGTTAAAAGATGGCTAGGTACATGGATTTCATACACAAACCTACTTCTGGAATCAAGAGAAAGATAGACAAAGAGGACAATTCTAATGAAGGCAAGAGTGTCCTGGGATAAACAGCTCTCTAGTCAGGGAAGCTCTGCATTTGTTATATAATGCAGTGTGGGCTCTTAAGCAAGAGGCAATCCTTGGGCTTATTTATAAATGTAATTTAGGAAGTTGTCAGTATAATTTCAACCTCTATGATATTTTAATAGTGAAAATGACACATTATAAGGCCTGGGTAAACCAGTGCTTCTAAAACACTATGTGGTTTTATCAATGTTTCCTGAATAGTGATTTAGATGTTAAAGAAAATCTTTCAAGAGAAAAATACCAAGAAATTTATACCCAAAATACCCATTTTTTTCACCATTTCTTTTAAATTGGATAACACTTAAAAGTTATTATTCCTTTTTTGTTTTTAAATCACTAGCTTATTTCCTCTCCTATAGGTTCATTCTTTAAGATCTCAGTTACTACAAATATTAATTATAGCACTAAAATAAATTCGGATATTCTTACAAGTAAGAGATACCTGAGTAAAGGAAATGCTGATGCAGTTGGGTATCTCAATAAAAACAGAAATTGAGTATACTGAACTTCTTCTCTTGAAAGTTAAGTGGTTCATAAAATACTACCTCCTCTGTTTTCTTTCCTGAGCCCCTTTTTTCTCTAACGAGGAAAGCACTTCTAGTTTTTCATAATGTTCGAAATACTAAAGAACGATATTTAACCTCTAATAAAAATACACTCTTTTCGAAGTTAACTTTTTCAAAATGGTAACCTAGTTTACTGTTACCCAAAATAAGCATGTCTATTTGTCAAGGTATCAAAGACAACATCTGATAAAATGTGCTGCCCAAACACATAACCACATTGAAGGCCTTGGAAATGTTTTGTTTTTTGAATCTAAAATTCAACCTAATAGTTTTAAGAACTGTTGCTTTATTTCAGTGACTTTCCATTTATCCACAAGTACACTGCTCCTTACAGCCCAGTATATGTTGATGAACAGCTTGCATAAATAATTGAAATTTAAATAAAGGAAGATAGCCTAATAATGTTCCAGACACAATAAGCCTTTTGGGCCAGAGACCTTCTATGAGACATTGCACAGGTGTAATGAACTTACCACATAGCTCCCAAACTTTCCCTGCCTACCAACTTATCTAAAAATATATCTAAACTTTGCTATTTACACTTTTGACCTTTACAACTTCTTGGACTAATAATGTGCTCTCTATACCTACCAGAATCACCTGCCAAGAGTTAACTGTAATTCCTTTTATTTGTCTGAAGTGATCTGGTCTTTTATCTTAAAACTAAATAAATTCCCTACTTTTAATATTTTGGGATTTTTCTTTAAAGTATGTGTGTATCCATCTTACTCAAAGGCCTTCATTATTTTATTTTATTTTACTTTATTTTATAGACTTTGAATCACCAGTAATAATTTGAAATGCCTGACCATAACAGACTGAGTTAACTAAATAAGGAAAATAAAAATCCCATCTCAGGAGGTGTAAAATAACAGCAAATAGGCTGTAGAGCTACTCTGGGGCTCAGAATATAGCACCATTATTCTGGGAAATTGCAACTGAGGAGTTTGGAATTTTATTAGGAACTCCTCACATTTAAAAGCATCACCAAGAAGTTGTCTGATGGATTTCTAATTGGCTGAGATTTCAGCTCATTAGTGATATCCATAGACAAGTAAGTGCCTGATGTTTTGTTTTCTCTTTGTGTCTGTTTCCCTTTCCCGTCTAATCTCAATTATCTCCCTCCCTCCAGGTGTGTGTCTTTCTCTCTCTCTCTCTCTCTCTCCCCCCCCACCCCTACTCACCTCTCTCCATTCCCCCTCCCTCCATTGCTATTACTTTCTACATATGTCTTTGTGTGTGAGAGTTTTCTTCTGCACGCATCTTTGAATGTAGGTGGGTGCCAGTCTGTATGTTAATCTGTATGCATCTCTACTTACGTTTCTGTTTCATCTGACTCTCACTAAAAGAAGAAAATGATGTTGTGTCAGAAAGAGAAGCATGTCATGGACTAAGACAATCCTAGCCTATCTCTTCAGTTCTTAAATATATTGGGAGCGAGCTCTCCTTTTCTTTCTTTTCCCACTAAAACTCTACCAACACTTCACTTTCAATGTTGTTAAATTACAGAATAATGAGATCTTCACTGTGACAAACTCGATCTGCCTGTGAGAATTCTGAAGGGAATTTTTTCTGTTAATTGCAATTAAACAATTTCTCAGAATAAATTGATCTATTTCTCTGCCAAATCATATAGAAATGGCAACATTTCTGGGATACTCCCAAATGAATGTGTAGATTCTCATTGCCTGTAAAAGTGGTACGGAGACTTTCCAGTATTCATTACATACACATGTTCATATACTTACCTCAAGTATCTAACACGTTTCAAACAAAGCTCAGAGGTTTTGAGTAGTAGTATTAAAAGTTAGCCATAAGCAATTAGGGGCTGTATGTAAAAATGCCAAAAAAGATAAATTTTCATTCGCACTTGGTGTTATCCACAAAGAGAAACACTAAACCAATGAAGCAATTATGAACATGACATGTGAAAAAGATAGAACATTCACTAATTTGGATGGAAGATGTGAAATGATGGCAACAAAAGCAGATATTTCTAAGCCACACAAAGTAAGTCAGTTTCAATGGTATATCTGAAATTAAAGGCAATCTAAAAACTGGCTCATAGTTCCAATCTTTATAAGAAGTTTCAACCAAAGATGCTTTATGATCAGTAAACTTTAGTCAAGGAATTATCTTCTGCTTTCTGGTTGCCCTGCAGTGCAATAGAGAGCCTATAGGTTTTATTTTTTATTTTGAAAAGTCCTTTCACAGACCAAAACACAAGGAGTTGGAATAACTCAAGAGGATGAGAAAGCTGGAATAAGACTAATGTATCTTAACTAATTCTAATAACCTTTAAATATCCCAAACTGGTTGTTTTAACAGTAATATCCCCTTATTAGGTCCAGAATAATATTAATAGAAGAAGTTAATAGATAAATATAAAAATAGGCACCATTATAAATTTATATTTTATATCACCATAAAAAAATCAAAAACACATTTGAATCACACTGGAATAGCTAATAATATTATAGGTTTTTTAAAATTAGATCAGGCCTATTAGCTATTTTTTTCAACCCAAAAAGTCAATTCTAGACTGTATAGTACCAGATATTGACCACAGTGGAAGAAATAAAGTCACACGTCAGAGCTTTATGAAAAATAGCTTGGGACATTTAAATATACACAGTCCCAAAATCAGAGGAAATATGTACAAGCCTAGTTTTAGAAGAGATCCTAATGTAAGAATTAATATAATCTAATCTACCAACTCAGGGAGAGCATAATTGTGTTTAATTATTTATTATCATTTGAGTGTGCTTTGGTCTTGCCCACTAGACAGGGAACTTCTTGAGAACAGAAGTTTCTTAATCATTTTTTTATTGAAAGGACCCCACAGAGTGTCTTTTGTATTAGGCATCCCCAAAAATATTGTTTAATGAATAAACAAATGAATAAGCAAACAATTATGGAACTGCAGAGACTATTTCAATTGCTTTGAACCAAGCTCTTCTATGATCAATATGCAGAAATGTCTCTTTCATTATTCTCCAAGCAAGGGATTTCAAAGCAAAATAACAGGCCTCTCTAAAGGGGTTTGGAGGAAGGGGGATACTGTACAAGATACTTTATATATCTTCCTTATAAATTGAAAATTATAGAAAAAATTTAAAACAAGTGGAAGATGTAGAGATTTCGGTAAAATGCAAAGTTTATAAGGTCTTTAAATGTGAAATATATAACCATCCCCATTCAGAGTATATTGGAGAAAATGAATGCATAAACAGATGGCATTTTAAACACAATTTAAGGCAGGAAAAACTTCATATCAGTATCAAGGTACAATGGCACTTTTAACATCCTTTCTCGAGTCACTTTAAAAGCACAGAAGCTATTGTGTCCCTTTTCCATTTCTCCACTTTAAGTTAAATCAAATATCATGTGAATCATTATAAGCCAATGCAAAATTTTTTTAAAAAGAAACTTTCAACATATATTTGACCATAGTAATTGTCTTCCCAGTTTTCAAGTACTCTCGCTAGCACAAGGTTCCTCCTTCCAGCGGTGCCCATTGGGCCCAAAAGCCAATCCAGAGACTAAATCTTATTAGGATCCACTTTCGCAGCCCTTCCCAACTTGAAAGAAGCCCTTGCACTGAGATTAACTAAACTCTTAAGAATTTGTTCAGTCTCTGCAACCTACTTGGGGGAGAAATGTACAAAGAGGATAGACAAGAAATAATATCCCTCACCAAACCGTAACTCAACGCTATTCTCCAGATGTTCTTGCACCCGACCCGCTCCCCTTTAGCTTCCTTCCTCCTGTATCTGGCTCTGGACAGGTGGGAGAGGGGTGAGCACCTCCTGAGAACGAAGTACAACTAACTTTCCACCACCACCTCATTCCCAGCCCCATCCAAAATCAGGTCCAGCTGGTCACTGAAGCCACCAGGCTGGGCCGTCTGCATCCCCCGCCCCCTTTGGAGAGGGATGGGATGGGGGGCGCGCGCGGGCAAGATAGAAGTAGGGGTGTTCTGAACTGCAACTCTTCTTACCACTGGAGCGCCTGACGATGTTCTCCAAAAATGTGTTCTGAGGTGCCACCAGCCCTCTCTTGCCCCCCGGCATCCTGGGTCTGAAGAGCGGCGGCCAGGATCCGCGGCGGGGGAGGGGGGGATGCAGGAAAAGAAGGTGGAGGAAGAGTAGGAAAAGGTGGAGGAGAAGATGGAGCCGAAAGAAGAGGGGGTGCGGCGGCGACGGGGTCCCCTGATTGTGTCTCCAGCCCAACCCGGATGAGCAGCTCTGGGGAGGAGAACCAGGCAGTTCATGGTAGTAGCGCTCCCCCGGCCGCTGCTGCCCAGACTGTGGCGGTGCCGCACACGGGGCTCGGGAACTGCAGGCTCCGCGGGGCACAATGCGCCTGCGCCGCCCCCGCTGTCGCTGTCCCGCCGGTGCTGATGCTCAGGCTGCTGCTGCTGAGGCTGCTGCCGCGGTGGCCACCGCCTGGGCGCGGGTTCAGCATTTCTCCCCTTGCCCCGCGCCCCGAGGTCAGGGGAGCGGGAAGAGCCAACTCAAGCGCCTCTTCCAGTCACTCTTTGCCCAGACCCAGACCCAGACCCAGACCCAGACCCCTTTACTGCGCCTTCCTTCTCTCCTTGCCCCAGCCCATCCTTCTCTAGCAGCTGGATCGCGGCTGCCCCGCGGAGCCCAACTTCTGCCGGGCTGTGCGCCTTGTGTCCGCTCCTCTCTCCCTGGATATCCAGGCAAATCCCCGCCGTCCAGTGGGGCCGTGGAGTGGGAGAGGAAGTGAGAGAAGGAGGCTGGATGCCGGAGGGGGAAATGGGCGAACGGAGGGATCACATCTCAGCTTCTCCGGCCGGGGTCCTGAGCCCCAAACGCATAGGCTTGGTTGAAGGTGTTCCCGCTCCGCGGAGGCTGAGCACCAAACAAGGACTGACTGGGCGGCGCGCAGGAACGCAGCGCAGCCACCTGACGCTGCTACGCCCCCTTCCCCCCGACTACTAATCCGGCTTCGGCTCCCAAAGCTCAACAGAGGCGCTTTCAGCACCCGTCCTACCCCACGCGGCGGAGCCTGAGCCAGATAGGGTAGGCGCGGAAATGGCCCCTGCGCCCTAGGGCTTTGTCAGGCGAGGGGGAGCAGCAGCCGCACAGGGGAGCTTTCCCAGGACTACGGAGCGCAGGAGGCGAGTGGCGAAACCGGCCCCAGCTGCAAAGTTGCTGAAAAGGTTGCACTTAACGCAAGAAATAGGGAAAGAAGGTGAATAATTCACAGCCGAGAGAGGGCGCGTGCGGCGGGCATCATTTGCGGTGGAAAACAAAGTGAAGGCGATGGGAGCAAAGCTCAGCAGGGCTGGGGATGCGAACAGGATTCGTGTCTAACCACCGTCTATCCACCCGTAACCGGGGACAGGAGTGCAACCGTTAGAAACAGTTCAAAAGCTGGAATTGGAGAGGGGACAATGGCATACGTGCGAATGCAGGAGCGGGAGAGAAAAGGGGGGGCTCATGCAGCGGCAGCTCTTTTTTTCTAAGACCGTGGTTCTCAAAGTAGTCCTGACTGGTAGCACCACCGAAGAACTTGTTAGAAATGCAAGTAATGGGGCTCTCTTTAGCACAGGCCTAGGGAATTAGAAACCAAGGGCCAAGGGCAGGGCGAGGGGCAACAATCTGTTTTAAAAAGCCCTCCAGGTAAATATGTTGCACACTCCAGTCTGAAAAGCACCGATCTAAGGCTTCCTTTCCGGAAGCTCCAGAGAAGCTCCTCTGTTGAGAAAAGATAACTACTCAATCAGGGTCAAGGAGTGGAAACAAAAAGCGCGCCTGAGACAGGGTCAGAGGCAGGTGAAACAGTGAAGGCAAAAAGGAAGTTGAACAAGGAGTGCCCTTTTCGCGGGGTCAGAATATGCTGTATGTTAGGTAATGCCCGTCAGAAATGGCCAAGGCTAAATTGCCCAGAGTCAGGGCTTGGGCCAGAGGAAACATCTTCTGCTCAGTGCCAGAACAGGGCCGGAAGGAAAAACAGGGAGGGGCGATGGCTGATTTTGTTTGGAATCCCCTAGATCAGGGGTCCTCAACCCCGGGGCTGCAAACCAGCACCGATCCAGGCCTGTTAGGAAACTGGTTGCTTAGTAGGAGGTGAGCTTCAATGTAATGTGCTTGAATCCTCCAGAAACCATCCCCCACCCCCATCCCAATCCCTAGAAAAATTGTCTTCCACAAAACCAGTCCCTGGTGCTAAAAAAAGGTTGCAGGCCGCTGACTAGATTACCAGTCACTGGTCTCCAGCCACCATCCTTCTCTTTCCTCAGCAACCCAGGGTAAAGGCCCTAGCCTGTGGCTGACAGACATAATGCACAACCAGGATCCAGGTTTTAGCTTAGGATCCTATGTTCCCTCTGCTCTTGGAAATGTCCACCCACTTGCCCAGTTGAGCAGCTGAGCAAACCCAGAAGGCTGACTGGAGGCAAAGAGCACTTTGCTCCACTAGGATTCTTTCCGCAAAATATCAAGACTGTGGAATAGCACTGAGCTATTTCAGCTTTCTACCCAAAGCGCTGCTGGTGGTGCAAGTTTCTTCCCTTACAGCTAGAATGTCTTCTGAATACATCGTGGTGTCTTTAATTGAACAACAAGGGACTCAGGCACAGATGGGATCCTAGTGGTTCGCCTGCCTCTGGCAGGAGTCAAAGATACAGCTGCCACAGTTCCTTCCCTGCAGTTGAAGCAGAGGAGAACTGCAAAGACATTCTTAACAGCTGGACTTTCCCCCGTACGTGAGTTTTGTATGACCAATGTTCATGGCAACTAGGCTGTTGTACAGACCAATCATGGTCCTAGACCAGAAATTTTCAACTGATGTGCCATGGCACACTGGTGTGCTGCAAGAATTTTTAAAATACACATTACCTGGCTATTCATCTAGTCAGAGGCACTGACCTCTTTTCCCTTAGTGTGTCAAATTAAAAAAATTACAACAGCCAAACAACAATAGCTATCCAGTGTGAATAAATCAAAATTACACCTATTTTTTGTCAAATTGGCAAAAAAAAAAAAATTTTCCATGTGCCACAGAATTGTAGTAATTAGTTTATGTGTACCATGAGATTTTTAAAAAAAATGAAAATCGCTGTTGTAGACCAATCAGCTATTCACAGGCTGGGGTGGTAAACAGGCAAGCTAATCTTTTTAAAATATATACCAATATAATTCATAGATTACTATCCTAAGCTTCTAACATGACATGATAAATCCATCATCAACATAAATAGGAAATATTTCAAATCTATATGTTCTTTTGTACCTCATCAGCTGCCCACTCTTGCCTCTGGGTATTGATATAAAATCTTGACTTCCCAGCATTTCCCATCAAGTATAAATATCCCTGTTCTAAATCACTCCTCTGTGGGTGTATTAGCTCACACTTCCCAAAGAGGAAACTCTTTTGGATTCCATTAAGACACAGTCACACAGTTAGTGGTAGAATTTCCAGTTTGTTTCCACTTGCAGATTTATTTAAAATGGCACTTATCCTTTCTTCTTTATCTTTAATAACTGCATAGTGTTACAGCTTTTGGATTATTACTATTATTCTAAAGAATGGTAGCTATAAAGTATAAAATCCTTAGTTTACAGACTTGTCTTAATCTGCTATTTTAAATTTTCAACACAGAGGAAGACACAGAGACTCAGAAAAATGAAGTGCCTAGTCCAAAATGACGTGGTGTTTTAGAGGCTGCATTGAGACTAGAACCAGGTCTTCTGACCCTGCAGCCACAGCTCCTTGTAAAGAATAGACAATAACCTGATTTTGGCTTAGAGTGGTAATAACCAGTAACATCCAGTGATCTCTATTGCCATCATTCATTTGGTAGCACTAGAGAAAAAAGAAACCCCTGACAACTTAAAACAACTCATAAACAAAATACAGTTTAAGAAAATAAAACGGCAACATATGGGCTTGCTGGCCCAAAGGCAGGTGCTGGCAGATTACAGCAAGGTGACAACACAGCATTTCAAGAGCATTTCACAGACAGAGCCCATATGTTATAACCAAACCACAGGACTTAACAGGTGGGGGGCTGGATCTAAAAGCTTCAATGTCACACAGAGGGCTACTTTTTGTTTTATTGCAAAGATTCCATTTTAAAGCAGAATCATGTGTCCTTTCCTCCTCTCTTGAGGTACTGTAATTGCAGTGGTGTTGTCTGTGAGAACCAAGAGTTCCAGTACCCAGAGGTGTTCACTGACTCCCAAGTCACAGCCATGAAATGAATGAAAGCCAGTTGAACGGCAGGTGTGTTCCCCTTTAACACTAACTAATAAAAAAGTAAAGACAGAAAACTGATACATTACAAGGTGATGGCTTATATTTACTACGAGTTTATGAAGGATTCTTTTATCAGGCATCTCTTCTTAGAGAAATTTTTAATATAGTTTATTTGTCAGTAGTTACAATTATATGTAAACTCTCAGAAATGCATTAGAAATAGGTCCAGTCTCATAATATTTGATCCCTTATGTGAAAATGGCCTTCCCACAACCTGCCAGGGGAATAATTTTTCTCCCCACTCCTGCTCTGTAACTTCAGCAAAAGTCTAAAGTACAATCTATGGATGCTAAATAGGAGGCTCTGATGGAGGAATGCGAAGAAAGAAGAAGGAAACGATCAGAAGTTGTTCTCCATCCAGGCCTCCAGAGTTGGCCTCATTAGCAGTAATATCAGTTCAAACCATTTCCTCTTCCCAAGCCCACTCTCCAAGTCTCGCTCTCTGCCTCTCCCCGAGCCCTACCATGCCTCTAGCAGTGCAATATGCAGACACTACTCAATTCCTTTGCAGGCACAAAGTCTCACCCTTACACTTATAAACCTTATTCCTTCCCCTTCTCTTCTACCTACTCCACCCTCAACACTCCCCCACCCACTAGCACCAAATCTAAGTTAAGAGAAAGCAGAATAGAGATGTAGTATTGTATAGAGAGAGGTTCAATGCTTGGCCTCAGGACCCAGACTGCCTGGGATTTAATCACGTAGTGTGTAAGCCTCTGTAAGCTGCAGAGGCTTACACACTACATGACCTAAGGCAAGGTATATAGCCTCAATTTCCCGT